AAGAAAATTAGCTTGGATATGTAACATTTAAGTAGGATATTATAAAAAATTTTAATCATATACAATATACTATACAATGTTATTCATAAGCAACATTCAGAATTTCCTCGGAAATTTTAGATACATAAGAACAGTAAATAAATGGTTTCTAATATTGTTATACAAAAATGGCATTTTATTTAGATGGGAAAATCATATAAACATAATTGATATTAGGTCTTAAGGAACTCATAAGAAAGAATGTGTAGAAAAGAGCACTAAAATAGGGGCATCACAGAGTATCTTTGTTAGGGATTATGGTGTAGTAGAACTCCAATTATCCAAGTCAATTTAACAAGAAAAGAAAGAAAAAAATTAAAATGTAACAATTGGGTAGGTAACTTGTGGTTTCTTTTTACATAAGTCATAGCGTCTTCTGAGTTTCCTGTCCTTGATGTTTGATAAAGTCATTACAATGAATTAAAGGCGTATTTTTTTCTGTGACATCTTTTTTACCCTAATTTCTTGGCTTCATCCAATATTACAATTTCTGCATATCCATATACACCCAATCTCTTTTTAATTCAAATAATTGGAGTTCCACTGTAAGTACAAATTTCTCTTTGCTATTATTAAAAGCATATGAATATAAGTTATTGTCTTGAATGCATACTAATTCCATTGAAAGTGAAATTTTACAGAACATCTGGCATCTGCTTCACATAGTAAAAATTTCATTCAGACTTAATAGCTTATAAGTAATCCATTTAAAATAAAAATCTAATTGAAAAAAGGACCTTATATATTCACTTCTTGAAAATAAATGTGTTCCCTTATATTAATCTTAACAATTTTCCCATGGAAGCAACAATCCTTCACAATTAATTAGTCACATAAATTACAACATAATAGGCAAAAGCAATAAGAGGACTGTTTTTCACAAGACATGAATTACACCTTTTCTTGATTAACATAGGCTTCTCTAGTAATTAGGTGATATCCCTGTTCTATCAGTACCTTAACAGAGAAGGGATCCATATATCACAACAATCCCATTAATCACATTTACATCATACAGAATATTTTCAAAACTTGTATCAGAAACAAACCAAGAAGCTTTTGAGTTACGTCCAACACAAAGGTACCTACTGTCAAAAGATGTGACATGACACTCACCAACCTGAAATTGAAAATTCTGCAGTAACAACACTTTTAATTCCTATTTATTCTTCCTTTGTAGCATCTAAGAAGAATATAATCACAAATATTACTCTAATGTTTATAAAGTTAGGAGAAGAACATATTCTCTTTGTATTTGCGATGGAAAGATGAATGCAAAAAGGGTTTCTTTCGCAATTTCTTTTCTTACACTTCAGGAATTCTAAAAGAACCTCAAGGGTGTCTTTTGACTTAAAATGATACAAATTTCCTGGATTCAAATACACAGTGGGACATTAAAATAAAGCCTTGCCAATACTGGATAAACCATGATTGTTCATTACATCAACTCACCCCCCCCCCCCCATTTTATTTTTTTGAATATTTTTCCAGTATTTATTTATTTTTTGGTTTATGAATGCTAATCATACAAAATAATTGTTCCTACTTTAATTGCTCAAAAATAAAATATTATTGTGATTAATCCACCCTGGAACTGTAATCTTTACATGAAATACCAAGAGTGTGGAACATCTAGTTTAGTTTTAGACTTCTCTACAAGAAGAGTAATTGTTGCTCCATTAACATAATTTTTTTGAAAGATGGTGTTAGAAATGATGAGCACTATTTATTGAGGATCTTGAGATATACAGAAACTAAAGTTGCAGAAAGTTAGGGCACGATTGAATAAATATTTCATATCTAAAATGATTCTGTTTTTGTGGTCAGTAGTGGACATTCATGGACCGCAAGAGAACTCCTCTAGGTCTTTAAACCACAGTACCTTAAATAACAGACTATAAACTACACATGCTCCTTCCTTTTTCACCCTGTTCTTACTTCTATTTTTAGGAATAGATGATAAGCTGATTTCCAATCCTCCACATTCTATAAAAGAATACCATCAGTCTGCTCTGGTAGCCAAACTTCTTAACCGAGCTCCATGAAGTTGTCACGAAAGTTAAGCAGCTTGAGACACTGCGGGTCCCTTGATGGGTGATTGTCTGGGAAACCCTGGACATTAGCAGTGGAGATTACCACAGAATATGATTTGTTCAGGAAAATACCAAGCAGAGCATAATTCTGATGACTTATTTCAAGGGCTATTTGTGCAATTTGGGATTTTAAATATATATTAAAAGTGCATATGAACTTTAATTAACATTTCTTTGGCTCGTTTCACTACTTGCAATAATAAATGGTTACATTTCGTGTACTTTTAGATTTTTTTTTATGAACAGACGTCTGATAGTTTCTTGGCATTTGTACTTAAACTTCTTTCCAATCTTTTTCTTTTGGGAGGGGGAGGTATCTGTTACATATCTCATTCATATTTAACCTGATGTAGACTTATCAGCCATGAGGGGTCATAGGTGTGTAACAAAATGTATAGCGTTAATTTTTCTGGCTAGAAATTATTGCCAAAAACATGGATTTGACAAAATCCTTGCTTGTATCTTTGAAGTTTCACTTCTAACACGTGTAGTTCTTTTTTAATTTTTTACTATGCTTTTTCTCATAACTGTTTTATACAAAGAACTAACATGTGGCACAAAGACTTTATTTTAGTGAACAAACTGGAGAAATGATTCCACAAACTCCTGAATTAGGCTACAGCTTTTGCTAAAATTTCTTCATAAAACTTTTTATATACATTACACATAAAGAAGACACAATTAACACATTAAACCTTAGGAAAAGTAATCAGAACTTTTTATAATGTAAGAAAGGGGATACTGACATATGCGACTCAATTAGATAATTTATATTAGGAACCTCATGTGACTAGCACAGTTGATTACTGAACAATTTTTAATAATTTGCACAAATTCCTAAGTACAGTAGAACCTTACCATTCCGAACCCCGCAAATCCAAAGTATCGGATAATCCAAATAAAATTTGGGATGGAGGAAAAATGAACAAAATAAATAAAATGTTTCTAAGGATTATATGCATATTTCTGCAGTAATTATAATTACTGCAGAACTGAACACAAGTTGCCAAATTGAAACATTTTTTGCACTGGTAATTTATAGTGTTTATCACAGTTTTATGTAGCAGTAATTATCACTTAGAGGAACTTGCAAAATTGGTAATCTTCTTTTGGCATAAGGAACTGAATCTGCTTGATGTCATTTCTATGTATTTGTAAATGTACAATACATTTTTTTGGATAATCTGAACATTTCTGAATCGGAACAGACCACATCCCCCAATTAGTTCAGAAAACCGGGCTTCTACTGTGTGTATATGAAAAAGAATAAAACATTTATTTACCAACAATCTTCAAACCATACTATCATTTTGAAAAATTAAAAATGGATATTTAAACATCAATTATTTCCAATATACGTGTTTTATCACACATTCATCGATTTAACAATGTACTGAAGAATCTTACAATCAAAACACAGTACAATTTTATAACAATTCTATTCATATTTTTTCTTATCAAGGGAATTGCATCATGTTACCCATCCAGGTCCTCATAAGAACTAATTTTCTCATAGTTCACTAGACCATAACCTTATCTGTTAATCAACACATGGCATCTGGGTACTTCCTTTGGAATAAGAACATTAGACAAAAACTTGCACGACACAAAATTGACAGCCCATGATTTGGTTGCGCCTTCAACTATTTACTGCTTCATTCCCGATTATCAGTCATAAAAATTATTGTTACGGACAAAAATAAATTGCAAAAGCAGCAATAGAGAATTGGGCTAAGGTGCTAGTGCAGTAATACTAAATACAAAATTAAAATTAAATTTTAAAGAAGTATATAAGTAAAACAGCAGCATTGATGACTAAGGAATACCATGTACCATAGCCTTGGACATTGTCATTGGGAAGTTGATAGTTACAAACTAAAGGTCAGTAAATATAAATAAATAATAATTCTGAACAAAATGCATTTCAAGCACAAGTAGAAAATTGTATAGATATTGAATCACCTTCATGCAAAGTGCACTAGGGTAATATCTAAAACAGCAATTTTAAGGAATTATGGCCTATACAAAGGATATAATGTCACAATCATGATTTTTATTAAATTAAAATTAGCTAGGAGTAGAGGCACAGTTAAAGTTATTTTCTGTTCTCCTTTTATCTCACAATACATATTTCCTATTCATTATGAACAATGCCAGACAGAGAGAGAAGAGTTATTTTAAGTGATCAAATCAGAAATGAAACAAGCGACACCCATTCCAAACTTTAATTCTGATCAATCAGGAGGAAGTTTTGAGGATGAAAATACAAAAAACAATTTTTGTACAAAAAATATTTAACGTTAATTGATACATTTATTATGAAATATTTCATAGAATCAAATAGAATATTTTGTTCAAAAGATTTTGAAACTTCTTGATTGTTTCAGTATCAATTTTTACTTTCATATCAAAATTATCACTTTGTTACAGTATTAATAAATAGATTAAGTATGACTTTTTATCACAATTTATCTATTTAAGGTAACAAACTCCTTTTGCCTCATACTCAGAGAGATTCAGGTATTATCTTGCAGAAAATAACCGAATGTCTCTGAAGTTAATTAAGAAATCTCAGTTCTTGCAACACAATTGCATTTGCACATATCGTTCAATTTAATTTAAATGATATATTATGTCCATTAAAATTACTTTATAAGTGATTGCACTCTTTAGTTCCAATTTTTGTTAAATTGCAACCTCTGTTAATTTATGGAAAACACCATTTCCTCTCATGAATTTTCTCTGTAATGGATAAGTATTAAAACATTAAAAAATATATTCATAACATATTTATATAATTTTTAATAAAGTAAAATGTACATAAATTGATTTGTGTCCCAATATTATAAGTAGAAAACTTAATACCTAAAACAATGTATTGTAATGGTATTCCACAAAAAAGATATAAAGTTCATAAAAGTTAAATTCATTCTATAATAACATTTAACAATCATTATTTGACTAAAAAATTTGTTCCTGCAGAGTTCTCAATTACAAGTATTTATATACACATTCGTTGCCATCAAGTGAATAAAACATATACAAATAATACACAAATAATTCAATCCTTGTTTTGCAGTCTAAAATTATATTAAAGATAGGGGCTTGAAGTGCAAAATGTTTTGCTGCATCAAGAACGAGAAGAAGAAATGTCTGCATTATGAGCACCATCACTAATTGTACTTCTTGTTCCAATCGTCTGATTAAACATCGCATTTGATATTGCTATTACTGGAGAGAAGAGTTGTAAGGGGTACACACTGAAAAAATAAAATAAGGCAACTGAGTACATAACAATTATGCAACATTAAAATATTAAACTGATTGAGTGAAGTCAATCTTAATATAATGAAAACTTAACCCCCACAGACAAGTTCATTTATAGCCTGTAATTCGCATAGGTATGCAGCTTAAAAGGAGAGGGGGCTCTATTTTTCAACTTTTTTATTTACATATTTTCTTAGTAAATTATAAAGCTAACTTCAAGGAGTACGAAATTAGAACTTTAAGAATACAAAAAATGAATACAATTGATTTTACTTTAAATATATAGTATGTCATTATGTGAAATGGTTTAAACAATTTACACAACTGTCAAATGGCTTGGAGAGCAACATCCCCAAATGTCATTTAAGAAGTTCCTAAATTGTTAGGTTAAGAATGGAGGAAAATCAAGGATTGAACATACTAAAGGAAATAAAACATTTTAATATGTGAAGTTACAATGTCCTTTCAAAATTTTCAGGGGAGCTGCAGCTCTCCAGGCTGCTCTTGTGTGCATGCCTATGGGAATTCTTAAATGTGCGTCAACTAAAGAATAATATTTTTGAGAACTTTTTAGATATGAACGAGAAATTGTATTGGTATTTGTCATCACTGTGAGAAACCAATGCCACACAGAAAAACATAAAGCAAACTTAATAACAATGAAACTCATATGGCATTCCTTAAAAATCACATAATTATGTTACACAGAGACACGAATGATCACTCATAAAATTTCACTGTAAAACTTAAAAACCAACAACGAATAGGAATAAGTGATGCGGGATACAACACACAAAAACTGAAATTGACGGGAAATTTTTATCTGATTTAATTTTTCTCACATACTATCAGTATAATAGAAGTTATGTAGGTCTAATGCTACAGATTTTTCTACACACAAATACAAACATGTCTTTTCAGAGCTTATTGAGTTCATCCATAGGTACTTTTGAAGCAGGTAGCAACTGGCTGCATACTTCCTGAAGATTCCCATAGGTTACGAAGCCCATATTACTTCTGTGTGAAAGCAGTGAAATTTCAAATAATAAATATTCTTCCTCCATATTGTTGTTCTTATAAATATATAGAAATAGCAATGGTTCTAGCACAAATCTCTGAAGAACTCCTGTGGTAACTGTCAAAATTTAATTTAACTTTAAATAATGTACTTTCAGAATGCCAGAAAACTTTTGTACACTGTTTACATCCTGTGGTATAACCTTATAAAGTCATTAATTCAACCCTTATTCTAAAACAGTCTGTGACTGTTGGGACTTGTTGACTATACGTTGGGGTGCTCTTATTCACAGAGAATGTCATGAAATTACTGGAAGTGAAGTTCTATCTAATCATCAAGTACAATCCATGCTATTTTATAACATACGAGAGGATAAACTGTTCCTACCTGAAAGTGTCTATTTAGTAGTGTGTGAATGCCTCATAAGCAATGAGAGCAACACCTTATTGGGTAGAAAAAATATGAAGATATACTTTTAGAGCTCAAACTTTTACAAGATTGCTGGTATGTGGTAGATTCATCAGAAGAATTGTCAGATGTTCATATTTCTGATCAACCTGGCCCTTCATCAGATATACACAGACTTCACTTGAGGAAAGCCTAAAGCGGCAGATAGGTTTAGGGATGAAAAATATTAACATTTAGAAAGAAGAAGAAGAAGAAGAAAAAAAAAAAAAAAAGGGACTACATGTTTTTTTAAATGAAATTGAATGACAGACTTGAATTGATGCCACATTAGTCAGAGAAATTATTATTTTATTATAGAAGCCACAAATAAGTCTAGAACACACCATAGACGAGCTGGCAATAAATCAAATAACGTTTCCAACGATATCAGGAAGATTTTAGTAAGAATGCTGCTAAAATGTAATAATTATTGAATCAAAATAAACCTACTTATTTGACTGTTCATTTGGATGGTAAATTGGTACCTGCTTTAAATGTGAGAGATTTAAAAACTACCTGTCATTGTCACTTATAACTGCTTGGAGGTTTTAATTACAAAATTCTTCATGGAAGGGGCAAGCTATGACTGTCTGGAATGATCTAAAAGAATGGGGATTAGAAGATAGGGGTCAAATTCTTTATTTTGACACCAATCACATACCAGTCTAGTTGATTGTATTAATGGTACGAATATATTTCCAGAGCAGCATGCAGATCGAGAGATAACATGCATGTTGGCACCACTTGGATGAATTAATGCTACAAAGTGTTTTTGAAAATGAGATAGGTACAGTTTAAGTGAGTAGCAGTCCATGTACTGTCTTTAAAAAACAATAAAAATTGGAAATATTGGAATAATTTGGAAAAATAAAATTATATTATTAGTCTACAAAGATCCCATTAAGGACAAATATAGAGATGGGAATAAATACTTGAATGAAAATATGTGAAGAAAAATTATACCGAGTGATATGAAATTTTAGAAATTTCAGAGTTCAATGAAAATCGGACATGCGGAGAAATACAGAATCAAGGGGATTTCAAGGGACTGGGTCTTGCCTAAAAAGATGCTGTGGATGCCATATGATGGCATACAGAAATTGTCGAAGGAGTCAAAATTTAAATCAAATCATAGTTAAATTTTAGATGGATATTTCAAGAAATTGCCCCATAGAAAATTATAATTTATTGAATTTATATAAAGGTCTAGAGCCAGGGACCACACGTATGGAGGTTTAATCCAAGAGAGTAGCAGACTGATCCCGAACATGTACACTTTGTGATCAAAAGTATCCGGACACGTGGCTCAAAACGATTTACCAGTTTCTGGTGCCCTCCATTGGTAATGCTGGAATGCAATAGGATGTTGGCCCACCCGTAGCATTGATGACAGCTTCCACTCTCGCAGGCCTACTTTCAATCAGATGCTGGAAGGTTTCTTGGGGAATGGCAGCCCATTCTTCACAGAGTGCAGCACTGAGGAGAGGTATCAATGTAGGTCGGTGAGTCCTGGCACGAATTCGGCATTCCAAAACATCTCAAAGGTGTTTGATAGGATTCAAGTCAGAAATCTGTAGAGGCCAGTCCACTACAGGGATGTTATTGTCATGTACCCACTCCGCGACAGGCCGTGCAGTATGAACAGGTGCTCAATAATGTTGAAAGATGCAATCGTCATCCCCAAATTGCTCTTCAATGGTAGGAAGCAAGGTGTTTAAAACATCAACGTATGCATGTGCCGTGATAGTGAAAAAAAAAAAGAAACAACAACAACAACAACACATATTGGACATATCCAAATACTTTTGATCTTCCATCTCAATGGATAGAAGTTTTCAAGAAATGACATCTGATCATTTTTATCACTCAATTCACTGGATGCAAAATCAATGAAGTCCATTGTTACAAAAGATGAGGCAGGGAACTCCATTTCTTGGTGAATGATGTGGTGAATATGCACTGAAAAATATGCCTTTCCAATACTATTCAAGGATAAGCTGAATGAGAAAATACTTTCCATCAAAGTAAACTTGACTGAAATTGAAACAGGTGGACTATCCAATGTTAACCTTCAAAGGCTGTAACCACAAGGAGTGAAATTCACAACAGCAAAATATAAAAATTTACAGCAGCTAAAAGGGCTTACTCTACCAGTATACCGTTTTCCCCTCCACCTTTTTCCTTTTTTTATATTTCCCAAGGTCAAATGCATAACCAAAACAAAAAGTAAAAACTAGTGTGATTAACCCTTGCCAATGCTGACAATATTCTTTCAAGAGATTAAAATGAGTGCTGTGTTTGAAATTAATCAACTTATTTACATTTTTTGCAGATTTTTTTCAGTAAATATTTCATTTTGTACACGTTTAATCTTAATATTAAAAAAATATTCCTTTTGATCATTGTTTTTTTCAGTGAATTAAATGTGAATACATCTACGTGGTTTATGCTATGATTTTTTTTGGACATTGAAAAATGGTAAGTGCTTTTGAAAGAAGGTTAGGTATTCTGACTTTTCATTTGTAGTGTATATTTAGTATGACTTTGAAGACATATCTTTAAAGAGTTTTAAGTTTCCAGCAGTTAGGAGATAAAGTAATGTACTTACCAGGCCCCTGATACTGGTTCAGCTTCATTTCCACTGATGATAAATAATGGAAACAGTATTGAAAAAACACAACCACTGAAAGAAGAATGACCAATCCGAATGAGTATTTTTATTTTAATGAAAATCACTGAATATTTTGAAGCCACATATTAGTGATTCAACTCACCTCACAATATAAGAGCTGGGTAAAGAAGTAAACACAGCAAGAGGCAGGCCAAAGCCGATGAAATAGGGCCAGTTTGTTTCAATAAATGTAAGGCGTCGATGCAGTTCCCAGCCCATATTGAACCATTTATATTCGAAGGCATACAGTGAATATAACATGCACATATGTATCAAACATAGCAGCTCACCCAATAACACAATAGGCAGTAGACTTACTAACATACTCTGTAAAAAAGAGGAGAGAATAACATAAGTAAGAGAAGATTCTGAAAACTCCTCAGAGCTCTTGAATATCAAAAGAAAAGTTAATTTCAGATTTCCATAAATTACAAAATGCTAAAGAGAAGAAAGAAAAGGGCATTTGAGGCAGCCTTGCACTGCATTACGAAGGGGTTGGGGGGGGGGGGGGATCGCAGTTTAGTGCTACATAATGCTGATATTAATTTTTTAATTCTTCCATATTTGCTGAAATAATTCCTTCTATTCAGTGTTATACTAAAAGATTAAATAAATAAAAAATTAAATGAAAAAAATAATTAAAAAGCTATGATGTATACATTTTTACAATAAAAGGTTATAATTTCTCATCAATGGTATATTCATTGAATCTGTTAGATTAAGAAGAAAATATTAAAAACTGATCTATATTATTTTCTAGAATACAATGAAATTGGCACAATAGATTTGGGGCCAAGATATCACCCATGTGGGCATGGCTTGTTAGAAATTTTCTCACTTGTCACCTTCCTTCATTAAAAAATTGTCCCCCATCCTATTGTTGGGTGCAGTCCACATTGCCAATTAATTCCGACTTTAATTATAAATTTTAATATATAACACAAATTAAATTAATACAACCAATAGTTACTGATTTATAATTTATTCTTACTTATTGTAAATGGGGCTACATCTTGTTTGCAAGTGTAACATAATTATTTATGGGAGGTTCAAGTGTACCTTATAGGTGTTTTACAGGGGATTCTCAAAACACTCCAAATTTGCGTTATGTAATTTATGGGTGACCCCTTTTTGACTTACACGACATTGACATACATGAATGTCACATGAATTGACACATGAATGATTGAATGACACATGAATTGATTTGCAATTCAGCAATTTGAAATGTTGACTTCATTAATTAGTGACTCAGTAATTAATACAGATTATGTAACTTTTACTAAATAGTAAAAGCTTAGCTTGTAGATTCCTGGAATTTATGTTTTCCCTCCACTTACAACAAATTGTCCATACTTTAACACTTTCCAAATTACAATTTCCTCCCTTTTGCACTCGCCCTCTCACTTTGACTGTAAAAATACAAAGGATAAGATAGCTAATGATCTTTTATGTTTGTTTGCACCAGGCCCTAGAAAGGCTTGACTGTGTGTGTGCAGGGAAAGTCAGAATAACTCAACATTGTGGGCCAGATGTTATCACATTAAATTCTATGTTTTGAAATAAGGAGAAAATTAGGTATGTGCTGCATGCATTTTAGACATTTTTCTTGTATTGCTTATGCATCTCTCATAGTATGACTATACAATTTCACACTTCCCTCCTAATTTTGCTAATATCTTGGTTAGTAATAATGCTGAGCAATTCTGCAACAACTGGTGGTGTCTGCCTACATTTTTTCTTTTCTTTATAGAAAAATTGTTTGTTTGTCTTCAAAGATTATCACATACAGTGTATTATCTTGTAGATGGTAGGTGCAATTTGTATGCTATTTCCTTCTCTCTCGCAAACATGTTTACTTGATATTTCCCACTAATTTTAGTACTTTCTTCCTAGATACAGTAATGCATTCATTTTTACTCTACAATTGTTAAAAAAGGTCTAGTGTTCATTTGATCATAAAATGGTTTAATAACAGAATCCTTGTATTCTAGAGAAAAATTAGAAAATTCTAGAATTAGTATATTTTGAAGTGGAAGGCTGCAGAAGTCCAATGATTTTTCATTAAATCTTCATCTAATCTTAAGATATGGAACAGTAATTTCCCCCTATTTACACATTCCCATGAATTACACTATTTTTCTCAGACCCTTGAAAAGTGTAAAAGAGGGTTTTACTGTAATAATATCTATGTAGTTGATCTCAATTAAAATACACCACTTATAAAGTAAGTGGAAATAGTTTTTTGAGTTGCACTATTTCCGAAATAATGCTTGTTTTAAAAATAGAAAACAAAAAACAAATCCTTCGTACGCCTTCCATCGGAGGGGAAGTAAAGCTGGCTGTCCCATGTTAGTAGATTTACTTGCATGTAAAAAATCCTCAAGCCTAAATGACGCCTCTGAGCTAAATTCAAAATCGCCTGTTTCTCGCTCAAGAAATACCACCTTTCTCTGATAGTTGATGAAAGGAGCGTAGCGAAATTTGCATGGTCAGACGGAAGAGCGGGCTTGATGGCCCGAGTCTCGCCACATAAAATAAGGCATATTCAACTCAATTCAACATAAAAACAATCTATCCCATGTTTATATCAAATTTCCTAAAATGTTTTCTCTCAGAAACCAACACTTTTGAATATTCATGAAAAAAGTTTAAAAATTACTTTTAGAAATAGGAAGATGACTTTTAGGAAGATGAAGATGATCAATAGGAAATGAAATATTTTTATTTGATAGTGAATGGAATTTTTTAATAACATTCAATTAGTTTTCATAAAACATAATCAAGAATTTTTTAAATCGTAACACATACCTGTACAAGAAATAATGCTTGCACTAGGACACTGAATAAAGAATCTGCAACTAACTTGCTGAGGCTTGAAAGCATCTTAGGTCGCCCACGACTGTAGCGATAAGCTGAATCAGCTATGTCCTGTAGAAGATCTTCATTAAGAAAATGTCAACAGTAATAACTATATGCATGTTTCATATTCCAAAACACTTCTGCTTTCTCTCTGTGCAAAAACTGGTACAACTTTACACATCATAAATAATAACATGACAAGTTTAAATTTAAAAGTATTTAAAATATTTACAGACTTCTTACCTGAAACCATAAACTGTTGACAATCTTACTCAATAGAAACAGAGGCAATACCCAAAAGGCTCCAAATGTCCAGGAAAGGAAAGGTTTCATCCACGCCCATACTGAGCGACTTGTTGATGGTGAGTCTCCAAACAAAATTATTAGAGTTCTCTTCAGAGCTGGCATCAAGCCATAATCAAATAATAATATACTCAACCAAAACACACCTCCATTTAGTAAACAACATTGGAATGTTCGGGACAATATGGTTGATTGCCTGAAACAATAGAGAAAAGTTTAATGTAGGCAAAATCAATTGAAATTACTTTGTCCTCTACCTATATTTATCTATAGTGTTCTAACAGCTGATGTCAATTATTACTGGAAATCTACCAATATTTCAGTCCCCTTTGGCAGAGGTGTTTTCCTATGTACAGTAAAGAACTATACAATAGCAATCAATAAAAATCAAGAGAGGATATTTTTTGTCCAAGATTTCAACAAAATTTATGAGTGAAAACTCTTGTGGTCCACACCTGTAATTTTTTTATACCAGAATCATCATCATAATTACATAATATGTGTTAAAATAATTCTACCTTTCTCTCCGCATTAATATTTACTTCAAAGACACTAACGAAAAGTGCTTATGGACAGGGCTGCACATAGATTTCATAAGTTCCAAGACAAACTTTTATGAGCTTCCTTTCTTTCTGAACTAATATTTTTTTTTAAAATAATCACAAGTACCCTGCAATGAGACCTATGTCATTTTTTTTCAGTGTCCTTTCTTTTATGCATGGAAAAAATGTGGAGCAGTTTTTGAGAATTGTTTTAAAATTTTAATAAATGCATTAATTTCAAGTTCAAATTAAGTGAAAATTGTTTCTAAAAACTTGATTTTTTTAAAAATAAGTATATGTTTTGCAACAGACTTTTTCCAAGGCAAAAATTTCTTTCTTCATTTTTGTAGTTTTGAAAAGTTAACTTTTAGCAATTTTCGTAAATGCGGGGAGATCGCCAAAAACGGGACTAACGCTATATTTTTTAATTTCCCTTCATACGTACGAGAAAATGTTTTTAAAAAAATTGGCGCCGTTTTAGAGAAAACAAAAGTTTAACAAAATTAAAAATTGCCTATATTTGGCGCAAATTACGCGAAAATACTCATATTTTCGAAAAAGTGTACATGACCTTATTTAAAAATGTCTTCAATAAATACATTTCTTTAAAGAAAAAATCTATCTTGAATATTATAATGTAGGAAGACGCCCCCAAAAAGTTGTACTTTTGCAATTTTCGAAAAATTAGAGATTGTAACGAACATGACACCTGCATAATTCTCTTAAGCGTCCTTTAGAAAAATAGTTTCTCAAATTCTGTGTTTTTGAAATGTTCACTTTGTGGCATTTCTGAAAATGGTAAAACTGAACAATAGCCGAAAATGGGACTACCACGATATTTTTTACCGTCCCTTATTACTAAACCTCGAAATTTTAGGCACAAAAAGTGGTGATTTAGAAACCTAAAATCGATAAGAAAATTATGAAATAAGGCACTATTAGATATGTAAAGTGAAGCTTTGGGCACTTTAAAATACATTGCAAAATTATTAAATTGGACATTTAAAAATCATTAGACATGAAAAGTTATGTTTCTGACTTCTAAAACTGGTCACAAAAGGATTAATTTTTATTAATCGGGAGAGTCAAGTGATTTTACATTTAGGAGAGTGACTGCGAGCATATAATTTCACTCACTTTCGTAATTAAACAGCACAGTATATAATCAAGATTGGGCCTATTTTGTAAGATTTGCCTTCTCCAACTGAAGACTGCTTGACCTGTAGCTTTCCTCGCCTGGATTGCATAGACGACACGCCGCGTCTATAAGCCCCAACATGTCAACTGCGCAGCTGCACAGGGAAAGGGCGCAATTGCCTATAAGAAATGCGTGCTGATCGGGGACGAGCCTGAAACATTCTCTTTGCATTGACGTGCAGAGCTGCGTATGTTCGGTGTGTTGTGTAAGAGATTGGCGATCAATGAATATTCGCGTTTCGGTACAACGCATTTTAAAAATGAATGACATTAAAATAATTCTTCAAAATGACATGTTTTAGACAGTTTCAGGGAAAATCAAAATAAAAACAGGCGTCAACCGAGCGAAGGGGCTCAGTGCAAAGCGCGTTGGATTCGCAATCTGGAGGTCCGGGTTCGATCCTCGAGCCGGCTATTCTGACCGGGATTTTCGTGGTTTCCCTCGATCACAAGGCGAATGCTGGGATGGTTCCAAAAAGCCTT